TCAGTGCTTCTTGTGTACCAAGTACACAGGTCCCACCTTCAAGGACCTTATACACTTGAAGGGGAGAGGAAATATGTAAATAAACAACTATTGGATGAAGTGGAAAGTAACAGTTATCAAGGAAAATGAATATGAAGAAATAAATACTGTCAAGACAGGATCAAATGCATGTTTTCCTGCTTTGCAAGCATGGCTATTCCAAGGGTGGAGCAGTGGTTCCCAAACTTATTTGGCCTACCGCCCCCTTTCCAGAAAAAATATTACTCAGCCCCTGGAAATTATTTTTTTTTAAATTTTAATAGCAGTTACTCATCGCCCCCAAATGCACCTGTGGCCATCACCGCCCCCCTGGATCGCTACAGCGCCCACCGGGGGCGGTAGTGCCCACTTTGGGAATCACTGGGGTGGAGGAAGGAGGAGAGAGAGATGCTTTGCTTGCTTTCCAGTGGCTGTACCTGATGGTGTCTGGGAACCAGCCCATCGGCCCAGAGTCAGTGGCGCTAGAAATTGGAGCTTTCTGTGGAAAGGAGTTCTACAGAACATGCGTAAAAGGGATGGGCATAGTAATGGAACTAAGGAGACATTGAAGATGATTTTAGTGTGTTCTTCTGAGGATGGGCAAGGGTCTATAAATCAGGACAAAAGGCTGGCAGAAAACTGTGCAACATCCAATCAAATACTTATATTTGAAATGATACATATTTAAGTTATTATCACAATCATGAGAATAGGAAGTCGAAATCTAAGGAATCTGAACAATTCAAAATATCATGTTCCCTTTATGGGTCAGAACTTTGCTTTTGAAAGCTTTGCCTTTAAATGGACTTTAAAAGATCTGTTGAATAATCATTAAACTGCCACAGTCCTGCACCAGGAACAGGTAAAATTAGTAAGGATAAAGAAGAAAACATAGTCTTAAAAGCTGAGCTCATAATCATAAACTCATGCCCATGGGACCTGGTTCTACTGTATATAGGTATGCTTTCTCTCTGGGCTCATCCATTGAGGTGGAAATTCAAGTTGGCTACAAATAACATCTGCTTGGTGACTTTCTCTCCTGTGTCGTAACTTCTTGGCCCTGGGACCACAGTTACATGAATCCTGAGGGTAGGGGTACCTCTCTCCTGTGTCTTCACTGACCTGAATACATACTTTTGTTTTAAATCACACTACTATATTGTATTCTAATTGTTCATGTAGCTGTCTATCATTCCACAACAGGGTCCAGGTCTGATCAGTAGTTGCGTCCCTAGCACTTAGCCATAGCATTGGCATTTTTCAATCAGTGAAGGAATCTGTATGCCAAGTCTACTCACGTGGCTTAAACTTGAGAGACACATCAGAAGGTACCCAGCTTTTCTCTGTACCTGGTGCAACTTAATCCTAAGCCTACCTGAAATTCAGAGTGGACCCAGGAAGACCTGAGAGTTACATAAAGCAACAAGACAAGCTGTTGCATGTGTATGGTGTAGTATGTGAATGTTATGCATGTGCTTTGCACGTGTGTGTCAGGTAGAATTAGTCTCAGGGTTGGATATCTCACTGCACGTTGGCTTTCATTTGGCTAAGATGCCAAAGTCAGACAGTGTGGCCGAAGGAAAAGAATTAGGGTTAGAGGGATTTCTTTCTTCTCCTTTGTCCCTGATGGAAACTGCCCGAATGATGGGAAGACACTGAAATATCCATTGTGAGAAGGAGGGGAAGTGTTAGCAGTACAGACCCTTCAGTATGGTTTTTAGCAAGAGTACTGGGAATTGTTTCCAATGTGAGTGCATTTTAATTACCAAACTACCATGTTGGAAGAGACCTGGTTTCTTCTTACTTCACTCGTTTCATCTATTTGCATTTTCATACTACATGGCTGGAGAAAGACGAATAATCTTTGACAAGAAGTCATAAAGCTGCTATTTCTACTGAAATGGTTTATAAAGCACAGTTATAAAAATAGTATAGCTTTTAGAATTTAACCAAATGCCATTGCTAATCTGCCTCAAAATTATAGGCACAATCTATTTATTCTGTACAAGGGATAGAAACCCACAAATGTGTCTTTAAAATAAAATCCTTATAAATTCAACATCATGGTGTTACCACCCCTCTTTTTACTTTCTAATAAAGAAAACAGCTGGGTTTCTTCACTTCAATGTCTCTCTGTATTATATTTTCCTTGAATAAATGTTATTGCTTTTGCCATTGTTAGCTTTAGCTTTTGACTATAATGGCAAAGTTAAAATATATTTTTTTCCAAATGATGTTCAATATTATTTGCTATTAAGGAAATGCAAAGTAAAACTACAATGAGCCTGGCTGGCATGGCTCAGTGGTTGAGCGTTGACCTATCAACCAGGAAGTCATGTTTTGACTCCCGGTCAGGGCACATGCCCAGGTTACAGGCTCATCCCCAGTGGGGAGCATGCAGGAGGCAGCCAATCAATGATTCTCTCTCATCATTGATGTTTCTATCTCTCTCTACCTTTCCCCTCCTCTCTGAAATCAATAAATCTATATTTAAAAAAACACAATGAAATATCACTACACACCTTTTAGGATGGCTAAAATAAAAACACCTCCAAATGCTGGTGAGGATGAAGAGCAACAGATCTCTCATACATTGCTGGTGAGAATGTAAAGTGGTATAGCAACTCTAGAAAGTTGTTTGACAGTTTCTAAAACCAAACAGCAGCTTTCTATATAATCCAGAAGTTGCACTTTTGAGCATTTATCCCAGAGAAATGAAATCTTATGTTAACGCATGAATGTTCACAGCAGCTTTATTTGTAAAAGCCCAAAGCTGGAAACAACCCAGATGTTTAAACAGGTGACGGTTAAACAAACTTGGTATATCAATACCATGGAGGAATACTACTCAGTAATAAAGAGGAACAAACTGTTGATACTTGCAACAATTTGGATGGACTTGAGGGCATTATGCTTGGTGAAAAAGCCAATCTCCAAAGGTTAAATATTGTACGATTTTGTTTTATATATTATTCCCCAGTTGACAAAATTATATAAATGGAGAATAGATCAGTAGTTGGGCAGCTGAGAGGAATGAGAGGAATGAAACTGGTGTGACTTCATAGGGTACCACAGGGAGTTCCTTTGTGGTGATGGGACAGGGCTGTGTCCTGACTGTGGCAGTCGTTACACAAACCCACACAGGCACACCTCAGAGACACTGGGGCTTCAGTTCTAGGCCACTGCAATAAAGCCAACATCACAATAAAACAAGTCACACGGATTTTTTGGTTTCTCAGTGCATGTAGAAGTTATGTTTTATACCCCCTACTGGGGATTGAACCACAACCTGGGCATGTGCCTCAAAATATGGGAAATCAATGCAATTTAATCAACTTCTTTTAAACATTTATTGAATACCTAGTCTGTGCTGGTTTTTCTACTAGCTACTAGAGATTCCAAGGTGGACAAGACATCATCCCTGCTGTGAAAGAACTCAGAGTTTGGTGGAGTAGATGGGAACAGTGGAACATCATTCTTAGGTAAGACAGGTTGTGGCAGCAGCTGAAAAACAAAGTGCCATGGAAGCACAGAAGAGAGTGTTGCCATCGTGGGGTTCATCAAAGTGAGGGGGGCGCTAAGCTGTGTGTGGCAGCATCGTGGTTGTTCTCCCAGCACCCGTCCACAGCCCCTCTCTCTCAGATATGTGACTGATCCAACCCTGACTCAGGAGTGAATGCTGATTGTTGAGCCTGTGATGCCCAACCAGAGATGGTACCTCTCTGCTAGAGGGCATTTGGAAATCATGGGAACACTTCTGGTTGGTACAAAGTCTAAAAAAAATGCTACTGGCATTCAGTGGCCAGAGGCTAGGAATGTTAAATGATCACTAAAATAGGAAAGGGACCCACATCATAATAAAATGATCCCATCCAGATTGTCAGCAGTACTCCCATTGAGAAGTATTTGTCTAAACCAATCCGAAAAATCTCATCCTTTATTAGTTCAGATTTATGCCAATTAGCTCACAGTAGCAATCCCCTGTCATCAGTGTGGTCCAATCAGAATAAAGCTCTGGACTTTTCTTCGATGGCTGTAGGTAAGCAATCTTTCTGTCTCTCATTGGGCATGCAGGAAGAGCATGTGGCCCCATCTAACTGGTGTTTAGATAGCTTCCTATTCGATCTATAGAATCTAAATTTATTCAGGTGGTTTGTTTGCTGGTTTCTCCATTTTTGTCATTGTTGTTTCTAAGAAAATTATTAGGATGGCAGAAATACTGTTGAGGTATCAAATCTAAGTAAAACCTAATATGTGAACAATGTTTTGTTTCATCCTGGAACTTTGGAATCTATACAAATTCAAAATGTTGCCATTAAAAGAGAAATAAGGATGAAACAAAAATAGTTAAGCTTATTATTTAAGATATAATGAGGGATATTGGTGATGTTTTGTGAGAGCCTAAATTAATCTTGCAATTGTGTATGTGCATGTGTGTCTGTGTACATACATGCATAAAAGAAGAAGAGAGAGAGGAAGAAAGGATACAGTTTCATGGATAACACATTTTAAGAATTTAAATCTTGTCCCTTTAGGAAAAATTCTGTCCTTTCAGGTTACAAAATCTTCACATCAAAGAAAGTTAAAACAAAAATTATTAAGCATTTTGATTACTTAATAAGAGTCCATGAACATATTCTGCAATGTTGTGAGTTGTGACTGAAATAGATTTATTTTATGCTTATGAATAATACTTCTCCTACTGACATAAAATTAGTTGGCAGTATTCATAGCTACAAATTATTTTCCTACATTGTCAATGATTACCATGGTGTATTAAGAAAGAAGAGGAAAAAGATGTCCAGTTACCCTTGACTTAAGAAAAATAAGACATAGAAATAAAGTTTAAATTAACTTTCATACAACCAATTTCCCTCCTGTTGCAAAACTTACAGAGTAATATTCAGATTCCTAAGTGACTAAACTGAAATCAAATGACATCTGGAAATTAAGGAGGCTGCGAAGGGAAGAGAGGTCAGTACCTGGATACTGGTCAGAGTCGTGTACTGGTAGGCCTTGACCACCAGGTAATTCGCCTCCAGGTCGATGAGTCCCAGCATCATATATTTCCACCATCTTCGTCGTAAAATTGCCAGGAGGTTTTCTTCTCCTGTGTTACAAAATGGAGAAGAAATGGGTTAGGTTCTAAACACATAATTAACTATTTAGAAGGATTCTAAAATACTGTAATATTATAGTTTAACCATGCCTTCTCAAATATTTAATTAAACAAATGCGTCAAAGGCTGACATGTTTTTACTTAGCTAATAGTCTTCACCATAGAGTCAGTCCTTCAAATTGGTTTCTAGGCCAGAATAAGACTGGGAAAGTTTTTAGTCCCCCATGCAAAACATTTTCTCAGGGACATTTGAAGAAAAAAAATTACATCATATTAAAAGAAAAGAAAAGGTGGGCTAGGAAGGCTTCATAAACACACAAAGTCCAAATCATCCGAAACTTCAGGACTGTGGTAAAATAGAAATGGAAAGAGGGTAGCCCGATGGACAAAAGGTTGGCAGCAAGTCTGTAGTTAGGCTCCGAGATGCCATCCTGAGTGCTGGTTCAGCTTTGAAAATGACACACTTTGAAATTACACTCCAGTGGTGTGTGTGATGGGAAGAGACAGGAAGATGGAGCTCAGATGGACGAGTGCCATAAGACCATTGTCTTAATACTGTCAGCAACTGTAATCTTCACCACCTTGCCTCTTAAACTGATAGCATCAGAACAGATTTTAAATACCTTAGTTCTTTATCCTTATTTTTACATATTTCAGGCTTGAAATAAACCTTATTTCTCAAGGGGCAGTCAATAGCTCTCTGCAGCTAACCTGTGAGGTCTTCCTAGAGGATGTGGAATATGCAGAAACGCTAAGTGAATGGTGACTAAGTGCCTCTGGTTCAAGGCTTCTCATTAAGCTGCAGCCAAATTGTCAGCCATGAATGCAGTCTCATCTGAAGGATTGGTTAGGGACTGGGAGAGGGAGGGAGGGAGGGAAGAGGGGAGAGAGAGAGAGAGAGAGAGAGAGAGAGAGAGAGAGAGAGAGCTCAAGAAGGAAACCTTGTTCCTCTTATAACCCAATATCAGAAATGACACTTCTACTGTATTTTTTATTTACTTTTCTTTCCTTTTTTTCTGTTTTATTATTTTATTTTTCAATTACAGTTTGCTTTCAACATTATTTTGTATTAGTTTCAGGTTGCAGCATAGTGGACAAATGTTCATATAGGTTATAAAGTGTTCACTCAGATCATTTAAGAGCCCACCTGGCACCATAGATAGTTATTACAATATTGTTGACTATATTCCCTGTGCTTTAACTTACATCCTCATGCCTATTTTGTAACTACCAATTACTACGTCTTAATCCCTTCACCTTTTCACTCAACCCTAAATACTCTTCCCTTCTAGAATCCATCAGTCTGTTCTCTGTGTCTATAAGTCTATTTCTATTTTGTTTGTTCATTTATTTTGTAATTTATCACATATAAGTGATGTCATGTGTTACTTATCTTTCTATGTCTGGATTATTTCACTTAGCATAATACCCTCTAGGTCCATCCATGCTGTCCCAAATGGAAAGATTTAATTCTTTTTTTTTTTTATAGCTGAGTAATATTCCATTGTATATATGTATCACATTTTTAGGCACTCATCTATTGATAGGCACTTGGGTTGCTTCCATATCTTGGCTATTATAAGTAATGCTACAATGAACATGGAGGCATATATTCTTTCAAACTAGTGTTTTGGGTTTCTTTGGATATATACCCAGAAGTGGAATTGCTGGGTCATAAGACAGTTTTTTGAGGAAACTCCACACCGTTTTCCACAGTGGTTGTCCCAATCTGCATTCCCACCAATGGTGCACAAGGGTTTCCTTTTCTCCACATCCTCGCCAACACTTGTTTGGTGATTTATTGATGATAACTTTTCTGACAGGTGTGAAATGGTATCTCATTGTGGTTTTAATTTGCATTTTTTTTGATGATCAGAGATGTTGAATATCTTTGCATGTGTCTATTGGACACTTCTACAGTATTCTATTTTTTATTTTTTTAGAGAGAGTGAGAGGAAAGAATGAGAGAGACAGAGAGAGAAATATCTATGTGAGAGAGACACATGGATTGGTTGCCTCCCACAAGCACCCAGCGGGACTGGGGATTGAGCCTGCAGCCAAGGTACATACCTGCCCTTGACCTGAATTGAACCCATGACCCTTCAGTCTGAGGGCTGACACTCTAATCACTCAGAAAAATGGGCTAGGACTACAGTATTCTATGTTTTAGAAGAATCTATTGGTCCAGCTCACACTCCAGGGAGAGAATTTCATCAGGATGTGACTACTAGGAGGCAGGGATCATTAGAGGCCAGCTTACAGCTGGCTATCTAGTGCCACACACTTTCAGCGCTATAGCTGTGCTTTAGCTGGTCAACCACATGGAGACTTGTGAAAAAGAAGCTTTCCAGCTACATAGAGAAAGTCAGAGGGAGTTGTGACTAGTTGGCAACAAGGAGCAAGAGGTCTCTTCACCTTTGGTAGCTAACCCAGTTTTCTGGCCACATTTTGGATGTGATACCTCCTATCTTTTGCTCCAAGCACACTAAAGATCTTTTTGTTTCAGTGAATTGCTATCTCTTGTTCATCCTTCAAAGTTTAGCTATTCTCTGATATTTGCCTGATACCATTCCCCAGCTAGGCCACTTTGTATAGTCCTGTTACATGATTTACAGGATTGTGACTATTTAGAAATTGTCTCTTCACTAAACTGGGAGTTTTTGAATGGTAAGACTAGATTAATCTAGCTAAGGGTTTTGGAATAAATAATAATTGACTTGAAAAACATGTGAAGTACTACCTTTCTGAATATGTCAAGAGCCAGTTCTAGAATATGAGTCACATTTATTACTGTTCTGCACTTAAATGTATAAGGGGGATATGATCCCCAAGGTCATTTCTTTATAGCCAGCTCACTTTGGCAATGCCCTTGCACAGCATTTCTGCCTTTTTCACTTGCCTACACATTTGCTAAATCAACACACCTCTCAGGATTTATCTTGGAAATTAGTGATTTTCAACTTGGCTGAATAGTCACATCTTCTTGAGAGATTTTTTAAAAATCCCAACACCAGCTACCAGCCCCCAGAAATTCTGATTTACTTGGTTTTGGATGGGGACCTGGGCATTGGGCTGATGATCAACTCTAAGATGTTCAGATGGTTGACATTCCATGGCCATCCTCAGGATCACTTGAGCTAGGAATTCCAAAATAATACAATACCAGGGTAGTAAAGGCTCTTCATACCAAAGTAATAGCCCAAACATTTGACCCAAAGGATGCTTTCTTTATCTTGTCTCTGGGCTTTTCCATGTGCTAATTCCTCTGCTTGCACTATTCTTCCTCCAGTCTCCAAATGAAGAATCAACCACCACGAAGCCTTCCTCGAATTCTCACCTTGATCATCCTAGACTGGGTTAGGTTTCCCTATAATGTGCTCCTGTAACACCCTTTGCAAATCTCACAAATAGTATTTATTTCACTGTATTATAATGACCTGTTTTCTTGACTCTAATACTCATTAGATTACTAACAATTTAAAGAGAGTTGCATTGTCTTGGTTATCACTTTATCTTTAGGAGCCAACTGTACATAGTGAGCAGCTAATACATAATATAGAAGGTATAAATAAATTTCATGTTTAATGATCTTAGCAATGCTAAGTAGCATTGAAATCAAGGTATTTATAATATATCTACCATAAAGATTCACGTTACAGACAATGAAAATTGTTTTCTAGTTAGAATGTCAGATATTTCTGACAACATTAATTTGGTGACCATTTCACACTATACATAGGGCATAAAAAGGTTGATGGCATATTTAACCACAAAGCTGTCATGCTATAGTCACGGGTCATTGTCCCAGTTAATTTACACAATCAATAGAGGATTGTCAGACTCGGAGCACACCAGCCACATCTCAATATACAACACTGAAAATCTGGGTCATGGTCTGTTTGTTCCACCAATCAATAACATATTCAAAGCATAATTCATTACACAGATTCACAGGAATGATTAGTTGCCTTGCTGTTTTGCTGAAGAAGTTTTCAAAGCAAAACACCCTAAATAAATGTTTCCATATTATTTAATTTGAAGCACCTAAAAACATATAACACACTTGATTAGCAGATTTATTCAGGATGGTGAGAGAGCTTTTTTTATTTTTGGTTGAACAAAAATGCAAGCTTTAAAAGGACTGCTTAGGGATTTATCTAAATGACTCTATTAACACTGATGTACAACAGGCCATTAAAATTCTTTCTAGAATAATGAAAATGCATTCTTTAAAGTCCTTGTGCCAAAGTGCTCCATAAACCTCATGAAATAGGGACATCTATAAGAATTACCAGCACAAATCAATGATTCTCTCTCATCAATGTTTCTATCTCTCTCCCTCTTCCTTTCCTCTCTGAAATCAATAAAAATATATTTAAAAACAAAAAGAAAAGAAAGAAATACCAGCACAATTGGTGGCATGTTAATGTTTTATAAATTTTATTTTTTTTTATTTATTTTTTTATTTTTTGCTAAAAGTATTACAAAGGGTATTACATAAGTGTCCTTTTTTCCCCCCCACCCTTGACAAACCCCTGCCCTCCCTTACCCCCCAGTGTCTTATGTCCATTAGTTATGCTTATATGGATGCATACAAGTCCTTCGGTTGATCTCTTACTAGAATGAGTAATAAAATCCATGGTAGAAACTTTAGAATTATAGTTTGGCATTTAGATAAATTCTGTTAATTATTATTTTTATTATCAATATGTTCAAATATAAATGAAAAGATTAGAGAATAATGTCATAGAGTAACCTCTAACCTGATTTAATAAATGTTAACATTTTGCCATGTTTGCTTCATATATATATTTTTTTGAGACAGAAAATGTTAGATGAAATTGAAGCCCCTTACCCCATTATGCTCCTGCCAGATTCCAATCCCTTCCATCCTTCCTCAAATACCATCTTGATATTGCGTATTTTTCATTTTTATGTTTATTTTTTTAACCCTCACCTGAAGATATGTTTTTTATTTTTATTGATTTGAG